TGATGTATTATAGAATTATACACTTGACACCTGGCAGGGAAGATATCATGATCACGAATTGTACACTTGAAATCTATATAATTTTGTTAACCAATGGCACCCCAATAAATTTAATTTTAAAAAAGGAATCCTTAGANTGAAATCTATATAATTTTGTTAACCAATGGCACCCCAATAAATTTAATTTAAGAAAGGAATCCTTAGGNATATAATTTTGTTAACCAATGGCACCCCAATAAATTTAATTTTAAAAAAGGAATCCTTAGAGGAAAGCCTGATTCAGCTCTTCCTTTCTGTGTGTTGTCAACTAATGAAAATAGAAGGAATGATAGAATTAAAAAACTATTATTTGTGGTGGGAAGAGACTAGACTTCAGATGGTGAGCCCGCAACAGAGTATACAGATGTCATATTATAAAGTTGCAGACCTGAAACTTATATAATGTTATCAACCAATGTTATCCCAATAAATTTAATTTTAAAAATGCCACTTGGCAACAATCATAGTAAAATTGATTCAGGCAAGACTTATCTAAAACTGGTAGGTGAAAGTGTGCTGACGAGGCAGGGTATTTGCATAGTCTCAAAATATATCTCTAGAAAATACTTTTTAGTTACAACAGGAAGGTCATGACTTTATAGTGAAGATACCTGCTGGACGGCACCTTGATCAAGGGACTAAAGTAAACACCCAGAGTAATGTGGCAAATCAAAACCAGGTACCTCCCAGTAGAACACCACGAGAAGGACCCAGCGTCACCTCCATGATACTCCTGCCAAAAATGCATAAGCTGGATCATGAAGAAACGTTAGGCCCATGTTGAGGGGCATCCTGCTAAAGAGCTGGCCTGCAGTCTTCAAAAACAGCAAGGTTATGGAAAACCCTGTGCCGTCACTACCGGTCATGCCTCCTTGGGCGTACCACAAGGTCATAGCCCGAAATTTGTGCTGGGAAATAGAGCAAAACCATGGAGCTGTGGAACACACCTCCTTCCCCAAAGCATCAGGAACACAGGCCCTGGGGTGACTATGGTGATGACCGTGCATTTTCACAAAGGTTTTGGTTGAAAACTTGGATTGAGAAGTGTTGTGGGATATCGGAGAGCAGAAGGGCAGAAATTAGTTGATTTAAAAGATTTCCCGGGGGATGGTTCCCAAGGTATTTTCAGTGCAGATGGGATAACGTTTGAAGATGAACAGTGGAGCTCAAGATTGCTCAAAAGTTAGCTGGCTGTTAATAAGAGGGTTAGAACTTGGATGAAGAAATGCATGGGCTGGGCTGGGGCTCTGGGGTGCCGGGACAAAGCAGAAAGAGAGAGAACTTTCCAGAAAAGGGGGTCAGGATGAAGGAGAGTTGTTGGAACCCTTGGAGTGGTTATCTGAGGACATTGCCGCTTGGTTGTGGTGCGGTGAGCTTGGGTTGGGTTTGCATTCATTTTCTGCCACTAACCAGATGCTGGTCCCTGGGAAATGACTCATCTCTTCCTAATCTCCTACCTGTATGTGACTAGGTGGTGGTGCTGAAAGGAGTGTACCTTTCCAGTGCAATACTCCAAAGGCAAAAAGCACATATCACTCCCAGGGCCTTAAGGGCACACCCAGTGGGAGTGAGAAATTTCCTAAGAGTCTCGTGTATATCTTAAAGTACAGGGGTGCGCAAAAGTAGGTTACAGCAGTCAGTACACAAAACACAAGAGTCTATTCTTGTATTATAATTTATAAATTATTGTATTATTGTCCATATGAACAACTATAAAACCTACTTCTGCCCACCCTGTATATGAAAATTTCCCTCTGTACCATATTTGGAGCAGTGAGGCCCTTCAATAAATGTTAACTTTCTTCCTTGGCCCAAGAGTGTCATCCCATTGGTTGGCCATAGGGTCCAAAATGCCCTAGTATTCTCAGGGGTCCTGGTGAAAGCCACAGAAAACAAATGAAGTGTGTCAGATGGGCTTATTAACATCCATTAATATGTTACTGGGGATTGAGTTGTGTGTGTGTGTTTTATTGGGAATTGATGAAAAATGGATCTGCTAAAAGTTGAGGTGGGTAATGGAATAAAAGCAGAAGTTTGGGGCAATAGAGCAGAAGTGAAGGGCCTCAGCCTTGGAGCCGGGCCTTGAGTGTAGATTCGTGGGCGGGAGGGTAATAGAAAGTGCGTGGTGACATAAACCTACTGGGGGGAAATAATAAAACTGTTGAAAATTAGACCTGTCAGAAAAGGAAACAGCGGCTACAAAGTAATGTGAGACAGAAGATGTACCCCCATGTGACCTAAGATGTAAAACTCAAAAAAAAAATTTATGAAAATAGAAAACAAAAACAAAACAAAAAAATGAAGAAAGCTTTGTTATAGCTCAGCTATTAATTATATGTTGTTGTGTTTCTTGAAACACTTTTTTCTACCTCGTGTGTTATTTTATAGCACCCTAGCTATAGCTATTTTAGCAGTGGCTGGTCCTGCCCCCACCTCCCTCCCTGCACACACCGACATACCTGGTTTTATTTGCAGTCTCTTAACATTAGGAGATAAGCTGAGATTTATTTGAGAGGCAGCTAAAATCAGGCACTTGCAGAGAGGAATAAGCTGAGAGGGTAAAGGGAGGGCAACCAAGTACCCTGAAGGGTTGCAGGGATTGTAATGGGGGCCATCCGAAGGGCAGCTGGGTACCTTATGGGTAAGAACTCAGATTTCTCCTGGGAACTCAGCCCTGTGCCCGTGGGTGACCTCAGTGAACACGGTACACAAAGCAGCGAGATGAAGGCGGCTGCTGCTCTTACCTGGAGGAAGCCTTTCGTCTCAGAAATCCTGCTGGACTCGTGGATTTAGCCAGTTATCTCCTGGGCCAGAGAAGCAAGGATTGCCATCCACAGTCAGCGCACGTCGACTTCTGGGAATGTGGGAGAAAGGTTCTGAAGTGTGGAAGACCCACGAGTGAGAGGAGGGTCGGGAGGGAGAGACCTGGGCAGGGGGGAAAAACTGGGGAAGTCCAACCTCAGCAGTGTTTGTTGGCCATTAAAGAATTAAATTCTCCTCTGTGAGGCAAGCAGTGTGGAAGCCCTGATTTGATGTCCTTGCAGTTTAACCATTTAGAAAACTGGACAGTACAGCTCTTGGGGCTGGGACCCACGTTATCTCGGAGAATATTGGGGGGGGGGGTTTGCACTTAGGCAGACAACACAGACGCAGCTGAGACATATGCCAAAATGATACTATTCTCAGCTCAGAAACTGCCCTAAATCAACCTCTAGCCTGATCCCACTGCCTGCAGACTCAGAGGGAAAGGCCAGGATGCACTTGGTAGGGGCAGGATGGATGGTCAGGCAGCTCAGGACCTTGACCTAAAGAGAGAGGACCAGGAAAGGCCAGAGCAGGGGATGACAGATGTGTATGCAAAATGGCTTTGTAAACTGGAAAGCCACCTGTCAGTAGGCGCCAGTTATCGCTGTCCCTGCGCACTCAACCTTGGCGAGAAAGTAGAACCCAAGTCTCTCGTGAGTGGAGGGATTGAAGGAGGGTTGCTCCAGGAAGAATGAAAGCCATGCTGTAACAACTAATATGAACGGAGCTACGTTAAGATTCTGAGCTGTCATCCCAGAGAAACTACCTGGTACCTCTCACCCCTCGAACCTTGAGACACTGGACATAATAACCTTTGGACTGAGCCTAAAGCACCAGTGTATCCCAAACAACTGTTGGGAAAGATAACAAGGAAGCAGATGACTGGTGACTGGTGGACTGAAAATTAAAAGCATCTGCACCTATAGGAATTCCTTTCTTCTGTTGATGTAATTGTCCCCCTTCCCGGCCACATAAATAATCCCCCTCGCCTTGGTCTGCTACTCAGAACACTCTGGATTTCTGCCTGAGTCAGTGCTCCCAGCATAGCTGCTCTTTGGATCTCAAATAAATGCGTGTGGCCTCTTGGGTTCACCTTTTGTTTTCAGGTTAATGATGTTTACTCTACTTCTCTTCCTGATTCCATCATTTTCTCACAATTTGTTTTGTGGCTTAGGAGTTTGTGAAGTGGTTTTCTTTGCTTTTGAGGGAGTGACAAATGTGTCTGGTAGGAAGGTATGAAGGCTTGAAGAGCAACTGCTATTAACGTCTAAGCCAGAGGAAGATTTATGACTAGCGACTGAGCCCAGCTTGCCTTCAGCTCCAGACCACAGTCACCCGCAGTCTCCCTGTAGAAAGTAACTGCTCTGTGGCTCAGGGTGGGGCTGTGAGCCGAGATCCATACACTCCACTGGGCTCCACAAAGCAGTGTTTTTCTAGTGCTCTGCCGGTGTGTGGAAATAGCTGTGCCGTGCACATGGTTTGTGATGGGCTTTTACCTGAGTCTTTGCATAAGGAGGTTGATAAGGAAGGTGGTGGTCATAACAGAGGCCAGAAAATGCTATGGAGCCACTCTGGGTTTCATTTTTCATCAGCAACAATGGATCTGGTAGTGAACTTCTTCTTGACTGCTTTTTTTATAAAGATTTTTTTTTAATTGATTTTTAGAGAGAGGGGGAGGGGGAGGGAGAGGGAGAGACAGAGAGAAACATTGATGTGAGAGCGAAACATCCATCAGCTGCCTCCTGCATGCCCCCTGCTGGGGATCAAGCCCACGACGAAGGCATGTGCCCTGATGGGAATGGAACCGGCGACCTTTCGGTGCACCGGATGGCACCCAACCAACTGAGCCAACACTGGCCAGGGCTTGGCTGCTTTTGATTAGAACAAGGGAGAGTAAACTTATCTGGAAGTCTTGCTACAGAGGTTTGAATTATTTAAGAGGCTCTCACATATTTGGGGGGCAGTTTGAAGCCTGTGTTGAGAAATAAGCATGAAGGTCTTAGGCATTGTCACCCAAGAGCAGCCCCTCTCTGGCTGTGATGAAAGTCCTGGCCTCCCAGAGGAGCCTCGTGGGATTTGAAAAGCTGTCAGATCTTGCGCTGCCCAAACCAGAAGCTGCCTCTCACTGCTTGCTCTTCTCTGCTTCCTCCCCGCAGTCCCAGCAGAAGTGCATCGTGATCTTCGCCCTGGTCTGCTGCTTCGCCATCCTCGTGGCGTTGATCTTCTCGGCCGTGGACATCACGGGGGAAGACGAGGATGGGCTCTCGGAAGAGAACTGTCAGAATAAATGCCGGTAAGGAGGTGACAGGCGAGAACTCCCACTGAGGGGGCGGGCGAGAAAGCCGGGGGAGCCAGGCCGTGGAGAGGAAAGTGTCATCGCCACGCGGGGTCAGGATTCACCTTGGGTCACGCAGAGGCTGGGCTCCGAGTCCGCTGACACCCTTACTGTTAGACTGAGGTAGTCAAAGTGGGTAACGATTTAATGCGCTTTACAGTTTGGGCGGATTCTGTACAGAGGGATGGCCCACAAGATGACACTTTGCACGAGCCTGCATTCCTGGAGGCCTCTGCTCTGCGTGCGAGGTTTCCGTCTGTTCCGTGCTGGCTAAAAGTGAGGCCCCCGAATGGACAGGGTGCCCTGTGCTAGTTGTTACGTCCAGGGGAAGTTAGAAAAGCACCATCTCAGAGAACCATCTCATGCCAACTTAAAATTAGGGGTTAAATAAATAAGCATGTTAGTGAGGGCGCACGGACTCCTCACTCCAACCCAGTGGAGCGCACAGGTTTTGCTATCAATCTAGAAATGACAACGGTCTTGTGTCTCTGTGGTTCCATTAAATAATGCCTCCCTGGGGTCATTCCTGATGATGGGAAAGCCACCAAAGCATGGTGTATCCCATAAATCTCCTCACCCTGCTTGTCACCCAGCTGCTACTGGTCTTTGAGGTCATGGGGAAGGTGTAGAAAACTACCGAGAGGGGAACCGATAGATAAGTGGTCTGTTTTTCTATACATGTTGCTGCAAAGCTGAAGTCAGACCACAGAATTACAATAGTTATTATGAGTTATTGCTTATAATGAATTTTAATTATAATTTTTCCCTGTGGAAAGCATCAGTCTAAGTGCCTCTCCCTTCTAGCTTAAAATCAACAACCTGGTCATGTGTGTGTGAGTTTTTATACCCTGACTGTTTTGCCTCGAGGGTTGAATGCTTGGCACACACAAAAAAATTGTCTGGAAAAGGCAATTGAAGTTTGTGTTCTTTGTAGCTTATGATGCATTAGAGTCTAGTTACCAGGCAGCTGTATTATATACAGAACAAAGGATACAGGTGAGAAATCAGTGTATATTTTAGATTTTTTTCCTTCATGTTCAAAGGGTGCCCCTCAGTATGTTTACTTCCCAGGCTGAATTTGAGGGGAAGATTGTGTCGGGATCACAGGAAAGCAGTCGAACAACAGCGATTGTCACCCTCTTCTCCCTGGAAGCTCCAGACACTCTGTGGACAAGGGGCCAGTGGCTCACTCAGGGGAATGGCTTTGCCCTCAATCTCACCTCACCCTATAATGAAGGCTGCTGGGTACTTTGAACTTTATAAAGGTCAAACTGTAATAACTTCCTTAAGACAAAACACCCTTGTCTCTTAACACACATTCCCAGCTATAAATGGTAGTTTTCAGCCAAAAAGAGGGAACCTTCGAATTATGTCTCTTTTACTTGGGGGAAGCTATAATTTAATGTTTACTCTGAACTCATGCTACTGGAATTTGGGCCTGGTTACGTCTTTTGGCTTAATTGGTAACTCAAGTGATGGCTCAACACAGCTCCCGCCTCCTTCCAGCACATATCCTTCAATGACCAGCCATTCTCCTGCTTCCTCTCCCCTGGGTAGCTGGAATCACGACCTGGTGACTAGGTGCCATCGGTGCATGCAGCCGTCTTTTTCTAGAATCTCAGCCCCTCCAGGTCTTCCTGTCTCCTCCAGCCTCTTCCCCTGCGTCCTGTGTTTCTGTTCTGCATCCTCAGCCTTGCGAAAGGCACTTCTTGGATGCCTCCCTCATCCCGACGACCCTCTGCTTGTTGGGCAGCTGTGAGTCCTGGTACCCCAATCAGGTGCCAGTCTCTAGTGGGACGACCCATTGTTCCACTGTCTTCACTCAATCATTCTCATTTTGACTTGATGACATTTTCTGACCTCGCCCACTCCCTCATCATTACAGACGTCAGGTTCTAACTTCCAGGACTCTCTGCCACCTTCCTTTGTGCCTGGCTAACACACCTCCCAAGCAGCAGTCCCATCCCTTGCCATTGTCCTTAGTAACTCTAAAATGTACTTCCCAACACCCTAGGCTTTGTGTTTTTAACTACCTCAAGTCAATACATTTACTACCTTTGCACCTGCCAGCAAACTCCTCCACTTCCAGGTCAGCCCAATTCAGGGAATGACCAAGGACTTTGACATCAGAATGATCTGGATTCCTACCTGCATCCTACCACTTAACAATCTGTAAACGTGGGCAGTAGTTTAATTATTTCATGCAGCACCTACTTGCAGAGCATCAAAGAACTAAAAGAAGAGTTAACAATAGCCGGGGAAACAGTCATGGCCGTACTCTGTGGTCAGAACCACAGAACCACATAGAATGCCAGAGGGCTAGGGGAATCACCTGGCATCGNCCGTACTCTGTGGTCAGAACCACAGAACCACATAGAATGCCAGAGGGCTATGTGATCACCTGGCATCANAGTCATGGCCGTACTCTGTGGTCAGAACCACAGAACCACATAGAATGCCAGAGGGCTAGGGGAATCACCTGGCATCGCAAAAAGAGGAAACCTGGCCTTGGACTCAGCTCTGCCCCTGCTGGGTTATGCAGACTATTTTAGTTTCATTTCCCTTAAAAATGGTATATTTAAAAAAAAAAAATCTATCTCACCAGGTTTTATGAGGCTCTAGTAAGTTGTAGAAACCTACAACAAAGCATAAAGAGACTCCTAACAAGCAATATATAAATATTAACCCTCTCCCTGAAGTCAGAAGTCCTCTCTTCACAGCCAACTTTCTGTTCCTCCCACTCCCTCACTTATCCCGAGTCTACCCTGTCTCCTGATTTTAGTTAGTGGAGTAAACAAGGGCCAACCACATGAGAACGAACAGTGTATGTATTCAGAGCTCACTATCACAAGGCAGGCAGACACCGTCACCTGCGTATGGCAGAGACTCAGAGGCAGGCAGAGCAGTGGGGAACCTTTACAGTAGCAAGAAGGGAAGGTTCAGGTGAGCTCTGATCGGAGGCTGTTGGCTGGGGAAGCTGGAGGCCAGCCAGCTAGCAGTGTGGCATCCTGTGCGATGGGCTGGGAGTGTGTATTTGACTCTCTGGGAAGTGGGGACAAAAATTAGGGAAGCTGGCACTTATTAATCAAGTCCTGGCCATTTGGTTATAGAAGTTCTTGTTCAGCCCTCTAGATTGTGACTAGAGATAGCTGCCTGACCTGCTACAAGCCTGACTTAGAGCAGGTTGGCTCTCTGGGCTGGTTATTGTAGATAAGAGGTTGGCTTCCTGGGAAGGTTGCCGTAGTTTGTGGGTCAGCGTCCTATTTTATATATACAAGGTCTGGCCACTGTCCATTTGCATTTTCAGTCTTCCAGTTTCCGGAGCCTCCTCCTGTACTACCAACCCCTTCTGATTTAATTTTAAATGTTTTCATTTTCTTGTTATACATTAGCTAGCCCATGATGCTTCTTCCTGCAGCATCCCAAAGCCTTCACTTGCCTCCTTGGATCTTTTATATATATGTCTTTATTGATTTTTGAGAGAGAGAGGGATATGGAGAGAAACTTTGATCGGCTGCCTCCTGCACCCCCCTACTGGGGATTGAGCCTGCAGCCCAGGCATGTGCCCTGTCCCAGAATCGAACAGGCGACCTTTTCGATGCATGGGACTATGCTCAACCAACTGAGACATCAGCCAGGGGGCCTCCTTGGATCTTTTGCTTCAGCCACACTGCCAGTTGGTAAACTGGTTCACTCCTGGCTCCACCCACCCTTCTGTCCTCAGAGCAGCCTGACCATTGCTCCAATTCCTCATCAGCCTGCAGAGTAGAGTGTGTTTCTCTGTTCTTAAGTCCTAGGTTCCTCCAGGCAGGGATGCCCCCTGGTAAAAGAGGGGAGCCGATTTGGGGATGCACCCCACTGAGCACACTGGCACCCAGGTAGACCAGAAGGGAAAACCACCGCCCCGCAGGTGTTCTCGAGCACACCAGTCCCAGCTCAGCCTCTGTGCAGACTTCCAGCCCTTCCCCATTCCTTTCCTGGCACTGACTTCCCCAGACTCTACCTCGAGGTGGCATTAGTGAGAGCACATGCTGCGCAGCCTCCAGTTACCCTTCACTTGGCTCCCATAGTTTTCTGTTCATGTTTTTCTCCTACTGGCGTCATTTTCATAAAGAGCGTTGTCTGCTCAGTTCAACCTTTGCTGAGGTCTCACTACTTTGAAGTTGCAGTTAAACTCCCTCTGGGTTTGTAGCTCTTCTCACTCCTGAGAGCTGAAAGAATATAAACTCTGTCAACGGCTTCTCCCTGTTTTGACAGTCTCTTCTCAAGATCTCCTGTCTAGTGCTCTCTTTCCTAAATCTATTGTTTAATTCATCTTATCTCTGCTACTTCAAGTTGCACTGTCAACTCAGTGTTTCCCCAACTCTTGTATGTCTTTCTAAAAATATGTATCTCCCTATAAAAATATCCTATTTATAATTTTTCTGTCTGACTTATTTTATTTTCCCTCCCTCTTTTATCACTTTGCTGCTGTAAAACTGAACTAATAGAAGAATAATGAAATCCTCANTACCCTCGGTGATCATAATTTCCACATGAATCTGTAAGATAAAAACTGCTCTAAACTTAGCCTCCCAAGTGCCTTTAACCACCCTCAGTTGCGATGCCCAGAAACGAGGTCCCCTGACCTCAGTAAATGACCTTGACCTATTTCTTTGTTGCTTTGTACTGAATTTCTGTAGCCTTCCCATCATTTCCCAGTGGGTTTTAATTGCTGATTCAGTCCCTACAAATATAAACCTCCATGTCACTTGACTACCTGAGGGGGTGAAAGGCAAATTTTCTACTTTCTCCTAGGAAATTGCATCTCGGTGGGCTCCCGGGCATCACTGGAGTTAAGAATGGCCTACTCAGCCAGCTTAGATCGTNATTGCATCTCGGTGGGCTCCCGGGCATCACTGGAGTTAAGAATGGCCTACTCGACCAGCTTAGATCGTGTACGTGCCAGGGCCAGACTG